ATATATATATATATATATATATATATATATATATATATATATATATATATATATATATATATATATATATATATATATATATATATATATAATTTCGCTTACCTCAAAATTCCGCAACAGTCTGTTTCATCAGTAAAATATCATCTTTACTGATGAAACAGACTGTTGCGGAATTTTGAGGTAAGAGAAATTCGAATTTATGCCAAACAAAGCTTGCTAAGTTTTTGTGACTTTCTATATATTTATATATAGTCAGACACTCGTATTTTATATGTATATATATATATATATATATATATATATATATATATATATATATATATATATATATATACATATAAAATACGAGTGTCTGACATATCTAGACGTGTACCAAGCTGCACTGACGAGGCGTTGAACGCCGAAACATGCATGTCTGCATATTGTACTATTAGCACTCTGCGGAGTTGTTATATATATTCTGCATTATTATATATATATATATATATATATATATATATATATATATATATATATATATATATATATATATATATATATATATATATATAAAAATCTTCAGTTTACAAATGGTAAGTATGATAAATTAAATAAGTATAAAAATATCATGAACTGGTTTACAAGATTGCCGTGTGGAGGTCAGGTAAATTACTAGTTACTATTAATAATATTCCGCTATTGCTTTCCTAAATTGAGCAGATGATTGTAGTTTTCTTATATCTTGGGGAAGACTATTCCAAAGAACTGCCCCACTATAGCAAAAGCTTCGTGTTAGGTAAGTCGTTCGTGGCTTTGGCAAATTTAACCGTGTTTCGGAATTTCTTATATTGTACCCAGTGCCACGGAAAGAAAACATATCTTGGCATATTTCCTTTAAGCAAAAAGAAAGAAGAAGGCATCTTTCCTTTTAGCTATTAAAATTATTATTAATTATTAATAATAATTATTATTAATTATCATTTATTTTTATTAATTAAATTTAATTATTATTTTAGCTATTTTTATTATTTCTGCATATTTTCTTTTTTTTCTTTTTTCCTTTTGTAAGAAGGCATATATCCTTTTAGTGTCTTAAACATTAGACCAGCTTTGAGCTTTTTGCGACGTTTTGAAAGATTGTCCCAGTGCAGGATATCAAGAAGTATACCCGCACTGGCGTCATAATTTGCCCTCATAAAAGTGATCCTTGCTGCTCGATCGGTTCTGCAGTTTTTGTATCTTACAACTAAGCGTTTCACCAAGGCCATCCCAGACTGAGCTACAATAATCAAGATGGGGTTCGATCAAAGCTTGGTAAACTTGAACATCTGTATCTGTCGTTATATCGTCTAATTCGCTTTAAGGCACCAATTACTGAGGCAATTTTCTTTGAAATTTTATCAATATGTGTCGTCCAAGTAAGATGATTATCAGTATGTACCCAAAGGGATTTAACCGAGTCAACCCTATTTATCTCATTTTTATTGTACTTAATCATAATTTTATGATCTATAGCTCCTATCTTTTGCCTAGATCTAATCGTCATAAGCTCTGTTTTTTGCAATATTTAGGCTTAGCCTATATTTGCCATTAACCAATTATGAATGTAATGGCCAATTAAGGCATTAGCAGTCATTTGAATTGTAAATTATGCAGTGTAAAGGCATGCTTGACTGCATAAATCAGTATGCAGTTCGTCAAAACCTTGTAAATCGTAAAAGGTAGTTATAGTTGTTAGAATTAATTAAATTGAGAAAATACTTATACGCGTTTACAGTACGTTATACAAGTAGCCCATTTTGGCAGTTCTATCGTTTACAAGGCGACGAAAAGTCAGCATGAGTATGATCGACGAGCTAGACGGTGAAGTCAGTGAAGCAGCGCGAAAGAGTTCGCAAGAAAAACGGCCCAATATTCGCATCAATTCTGAAGAAATGGAAAGTGAACATATTCAGCGAATAAAGAACAGTAAGCGAGGTCATTTATCAACAGTAACATCGAGAAAGAACGAGATTACTGATCTGATTAGCGACGATACAAATTTGAAACTCGTAAAGGAGAATTTACAAAATCTAAGTCAGTTGTTTATTAAATATTCAGAAGTTCATGAAGCATATCAATATTGTGAAATCTCTTTTGAAAGCAAGACTACAGAACAGAACCAATATGAAACAGAAGAATTACTGCATAGCAATTTTGCGATTAGAATTAATGAATGGATTTCTGAAGTAGATTTTAGATTTAGTTTTCAGCCTGAAATATCACCGCAAGATTCAGTTAGTCATGTCGGTATGAACAGATCAAACAGATCTAGTATTGAACCTTCATGTTGAACCTTCAGACCCAGCCTAGTCCCAGTCGTTCTGAAGCAAGCGCGAGAAAAAAGTGGATGTAGTACGAGACTGGGACCTAGGTGTGACGTCACCGCTCAAGATGCTTCAGAAGGCCTAGCAGATTTCAGTATTTTTATTAGGCATGTAGTAAAACATGGACTGGACTCATTAGTAAAACATGGACTGGACCCGACTAGTAAAACATGGACTCTATTAGTAAAACATGGACTCTATTAGTAAAACATGGACTCTATTAGTAAAACATGGACTCGATTAGTAAAACATGGACTCGATTAGTAAAACATGGACTCGATTAGTAAAACATGGACTCGATTAGTAAAACATGGACTCGATTAGTAAAACATGGACTCGATTAGTAAAACATGGACTCGATTAGTAAAACATGGACTCGATTAGTAAAACATGGACTCGATTAGTAAAACATGGACTCGATTAGTAAAACATGGACTCGATTAGTAAAACATGGACTCGATTAGTAAAACATGGACTCGATTAGTAAAACATGGACTCGATTAGTAAAACATGGACTCGATTAGTAAAACATGCCTAAATGTAGTTCCTTGTCTGTTTTTTTTGTAAATTGTAATTTTAATAACATCAACTTTAGTGTACAAGAGATCTCATCGATATTTAACGTAAAGTTTCAAGAAGCATCGGCCATTGTAAGTAAATGTGGAATAAATACCAAATTATTTACCGACAGCTAGGTAATGCTATATAGATATAGATGATTTTTTGATTTTTATGTAAACAGAAACACCTTTGCTATTTAACACGTCCACATCGATTTATCCCAGGAGAAACGTAATTTGGACGCGGTTGCGTTGTGTACACGATATTCTTCAAGTTATAAATATATACTCGATAAAAAGATTCTCCGACAATCGGCATGTTTCCTGCAATACTAATTTACGAATTTTGGATTGATAGTGTCAGACATTCTGACCACCGGCAACCGTTTGCCAAATAGTTAAATATGAAGCATTTACATATTTGTTTGCGTGCGAACAACGGCCGATAAATAGATCTGGGGTCGGTTGTATAAATTAAACAAATCTATGAACTATTGACTACAAGCAAACTAAACTTTTCTTTTCTGTCTAAACATAATAATAATGCATAAAACTACTCATTTAGTTGATAAAATTAAGTTCAAGTACTTACAATATATGTATATTGAGAAGGAATGTTTTTAATTTTTTGCCTATACACCCTTTAAGCCAAACGCCTTTGTACAACCGACCTCTATTCAATTTCGTGTTAGGTTTGTAAGGTGAGGGGGGGGGGGGATGGGGTCATCAGAGAAACGTACATAATTAGGAAGTTCCTCGTGGAATAAATCGATACGCGACACTTTCAAAAATATCATGCCCCTCACAGACTCAAGAAATACGGCAGCTTAAAATATAACACAATGAAAAAATGTTTAAATGTTTCAGGAAAAAATTGGTCTGAATCATTCAGTGGAATAGCACATCATGCCTACCAAGAGTCCATGTTTTACTAAGGGGCCGACCATTTAACTTTTGAGGGGGGGGGGGATTTTGAAAAAAAAATTCCTGCAAGGCTATTCTAAACAACAAAAAAATACCTGCACTAACAAACTGGGAAAAAAATATCCTGCCCCAGTATTTGGTGCAGGGATCGATTTGACCAGTCCGAGAAGATCAGCTGGTTTGATTTTCAGGGACTAGTGTAAGGTTAATTTCTTGTTGGAAAACTCCTCAAAATGCTGGAAATAGCTTATCTGAGCTTCAAAAAATCCAAAATTTTCTGGGAGGCATGCCACCAGACCCCTCCAGAGGCTCGCACCTTCGGTGGTCGACTCAGTTGTTGCTGCCCTATGACGTATACTTATTAGTTAAACCATGCATATATATGCTGTAGGTAGCTGCAATGATACAGACAGGGCTGTAGCAAGGGGGGTATTGGGGGTGGTTAACCCCCCCCCCAACTTTTTTAGAATCAACATATTCAGAAAATCGGGTTGGCCATTCGGAAAATTATGGCAATAATAGTAGAACAAAATTTTAGTTGTTAAACAGAGAAAATATTATAAAATTGTATTGTCACTATAAACGCTTTTTTCTGACCATCAGCATTCTGTCAAAACTTCCCCAAAGTCCAGCAAATGGCATTTCAAAGACATTTCTATGAAATGGCATTTCGAAATTTAAAAATTTCCTCGGCCCTCCGGCCCTCGCTTTCTGCCCCCAATAAACAAAAGCTCCCTACCGCACTGCTTCTGTATATGTCTGTGCGTAAAATATGCGTATTGTTGTTTGCAAATTGCGTCTTCATTTTCCGAATAGCAAACATCTTCGTGGCTTAGTATGCCATGATATATTCGGAAATTATTTTCGTCATTCGGAAATTTTTTTGCCTACAGCCCCCCCCCCCAACTATACATGCTAGCTACGGCCCTGGATACAGACTTGCCGACTGGAACTTCTCCAGGTCCTCTGCTAATTATGTCCTCTCCAGTTACACATCCTTAAAAAAGGCCCTGAACCAAATGTTATACCTCATAGCAATATGTATTATTAAGAGCAATGCATGAAGCGGAAAACTCAACGTTAACTATAATTAAAGAATCTAAATAGTATAACCTATTGAAAAAAAATGCTGCGAAAGAAAGTGTGGCAATATAAATCGTGCATGGTGATGGGATAAAAAAAAACTTGCACATAACGATCCCAGAAAAAATCCCCCCCCCCCTCGAAAGTTAAATGGTCGGCCCCTAATCGAGTCCAGTCCATGTTTTACTACATGCCCTCTTATACACTAAAGTTGATGTTATTAAAATTACAATTTACAAAAAAACAGAC